TCCGAAAATCATGAGAAGGAGACAAATTATTTGAAAGACTATCAAGATTCATCAATTGAATTTCTCGGAGATAGGTATTCGGCGAAATTACCATGGAAACAAGATTACGAAGAATTACCGTCAAATTATGATGTAGCCAAAAGGAGAACGGAGAACGTTATCAGAAGAATAGGCAAAGATGAGACCATGCTAAAGAAATACGGAGATATAATAAAGGAACAGGAACGTCGCGGATTTATCGAGAGGGTTGATGAATCAGAACCGACAATTAACAAAGTACATTATATACCACACCATGCCGTTGTCAAGAAAGATTCCAGTACAACACCAATACGCATAGTGTATGACTGCAGTTGTAAGATGTATCAAAATCAACCTAGTCTTAATGATTGCCTAATGAGCACTCCCCCAGAGTTAAATGACTTATCCAAGATCTTGGTAAGATTTCGACTTCATCGTTATGCTATCACTACCGATATTGAGAAGGCATTTTTACATGTAGGACTCAACAAAGACGACCGAGATGTAACCCGATTTCTATGGTTAAGTAACCCTTCAGATGTAACCAGTCCGTTAATGACATATAGATTTAAGGTAATATTATTCGGAGCAACTTGCTCACCATTTATCTTGAGCGCCACCCTATTAAAACATTTGCAGCAAACCAACAGTAATACCGCAAGAATGCTTGAACGGGATTTATATGTGGATAACATTTTGACTAGCATAAACAGAGAGCATGACGCTTTAAACTTCTTTGAGCGAGCAAGAAAAATGATGATTAAGGCAGGATTTAATCTGAGGTCTTGGAATTCAAACAGCGAAAAGGTACGACAACAAGCAGTATCTCAGAATGTTTTAGACACGGACACAGACACGAAAGTATTGGGAATGAGATGGAATAGCCACACAGATTATCTTTTCTATCCACACAAGGAAGAAATTACGACAATACGTGTAACTAAACGAGAAATATTGAGATATTCGTCAGGAATTTACGATCCGCTAGGATTACTGAGTCCAGTTACAATTACGACTAAAATTTTATTGCAAGAAATATGGAAACTTGGATTAAAATGGGACAGTTTAATAGAAGGGGACCTATGTAACCAATGGATCAGTATACGCGATAATATTGAGACCGCAACACAAACAGTATTTCCTCGATATTACTTCTCTGAGACTACAGGATCAACAAATCACAGTCTTCACATATTTGTTGACGCAAGTACAAAGGCATATGGTGCGGTAGGATATATATGTAACGGACATGAGACAGCACTTGTAATGGCAAAGTCACGAGTAGCACCATTAAAGGAAATTACACTCCCACAACTTGAGTTAATGGCAGCCGTAATCGGAGCACGCTTAGCTAAACACCTTCAATCAACGATGGAGTGCGAAAACATCACTTTTTGGTCGGATAGCCAGATCGTTTTACACTGGCTTAAGTCAACAAAGACATTAAAACGTTTCATACAAAATCGCGTGAATGAAATAAACGAATTGACAAAATCATGGGAATGGAAGTATTGTCCTACAGGCGATAACCCAGCTGATCTAGTAACACGAGGGATAACGGCCGAGCAATACACAAACAGCACATTATGGATTAAAGGTCCGCATTGGTTAACAGACCGTTCAACTTACCCAAAATCAACATCAATCGACACGTCTTTATCCGTTTTGTTAACAGAAAATGACAATACATGTATTAGCCAACCAAAGGACGATTCGATTTGTCAACTTGGAATTAACTTTATTATTGATATTGAACGATATTCGTCGTACCAGAAACTGTTACGTATCACGTCATATGTACTACGGTTTATAGAAAACTGTAGAATTGAAAAGACTTTAAGGACACTAGAACATTTAAAACCAAGTGAACTATCCAAATCGGTTGAGGTATGGATTCGAAATTGTCAGGAGACGGCTTTTGCTACGGAATATAACGCATTGAAGTATAACAGTAGAACACGGAACAGTTTACCGAGAATCAGACAATTAAGGTTATTTCTTGAGGACAGGAGCATCATCAGATGTGGAGGAAGAATTCAGAATGCGCCCTTATCGGAGTCCACAAAATTTCCGTATATCTTACCTAACGATCATACAATTTCTAAACTTATTGTATTAGATGCCCATGAAAGAATTTTTCATTCCGGAGTAAATGCCACTATCGTACATTTGAGACAAAGTTTTTGGATACCTGCAATCCGACAGTTTGTTCGGAAAACACTCAGGAAATGTGTTACTTGTAGAAAGGTGGTTGGACTACCATATGTAGCACCGGATCCACCGCCACTGCCTAAGATTCGTCTACAAGAAGCTGACCCTTTTACAGCTACAGGGATAGATTTCACAGGCGCATTACAAGTAAAAGATAACGATAATGTCATAAAGAAAGTCTACATATGTTTATTCACTTGCGCCTCTACGAGAGCGATACATCTTGAAGTCGTTACAAATTTGTCAGAAGAAACGTTTTTACAAGCTTTTCGGCGCTTTTCAAGCAGAAAATCTTTACCGAAAGTTGTTATGACCGACAATGGTTCTACTTTTGTATCCGCTTCAGAAGACATCAAACAACTTTGTAATTCAAAAAAGTTAAAAGAAACATTATCAGCACAAGGAATCGACTGGTTTTTCATCCCTAAACGTGCTCCATGGTTTGGTGGATGGTGGGAGCGTCTTATTGGAATGACGAAAACGAATTTAAAAAAAGTCCTAGGAAAATCACTTGTAAATTTAGAGATTCTTCAGACAATTGTTACAGAGATAGAATCCGTCTTAAATGATCGACCATTAACATATGTTTCTTCAGACCCCGAGGATCTTGAACCACTTACTCCAGCTCATCTTCTTTATGGACGTAGGATAAATACATTACCGTACATGGATACTCGTGAAATTGACATGTTTAATGAGACATTTATGAGCAAAACAAGTTTTATCAAACGTGTTCAAAGACAATCATTACTCTTACAACAATTCTGGAACCGATGGAAAACCGAATATTTAACGTCATTGCGTGAATTCCACAAGAAAACGGGAAGCAATTCCACGATAATCAGAATAGGCGATGTTGTTCAGATTCATGACGAAAACCGAAGAATAATGTGGAAAACCGGGATTGTGGAAAACCTAACTAAAGGAAATGATGGACTAGTTCGTTCCGCTATTATTCGAACCAAAACTGGAACTACATCACGTCCGATCGTCAAGTTGTATCCTCTTGAACTTTGTACAGACATCGAAACATCAAAGGACGAAGAAGCTCGACAGAAGGAGGAACCAAGTGCGACAACAAGCCGGATATTGCCAAACCGAGAAGCAGCCAGAAGAGCCAGGGAAAATATTAAAAAATGGACTAAATAATGCGTAACCGATGAACTGTTCTGATTTATTATGGACTTTTACAAATATGCTTGATTTTAATTGACTAATTGCAAAAACAGATTATATGATAAAATTGCATTGACTATGTGAACAGGTGCGCGGAAAATATAGACACTGTTATCTGTGTACGTAATAGACTCATTGTGATTTAACTAAAAGATAACTAATCTGGAAGTTAGTGACTGTGCTAAAGTTATTAAGTTTCAGTTTTGAATTTGAGAGACAGTAATTTTAATTCATTTTTACTTTATTGTAATTTAATTTTAATATTTACCTTTAGCGGCCCGGAGAATGTTGAGAATACCGCGGGAGTTAAGACGTCGCGTTTTACCTATTGTATCTAGGGTTGACGTCAATGTGGGACGTAGCCTTAGCAGCTCGGATATATATGAAGTAAACGTAAAACTGTATGGTTGTGTTCTTTCTGTATAACGATAGTTTGAGTTAGCCCCGACACTATCCCTTCGAAATTGGAATTTGATCAAGAAAAAAACTGCATGTTCTATTTTTATCATACATGTGTAGTTTCAGTTTCAACCATGGTTCTAAATTACTTTCCCAAAAAAATGCGGACGGAATAGAAGACACCTGTTTATTTTCTGCTCCTTGAGAACTGAGATTTGGATGAGATAGATGATTTACTTATTCTGAGATAAATGTCACAGTGCTAAATTATTAGTTTCTGTGTAATGTTTTGTAGACGGAATCTGATTTTTTTGTTCGTTTTTTTTTCTGTAAGCTTTGTCCTTCCACTTATGTATACATGTTAAAAATGTTTCACTTGTGGTCGATTACCCTTTAGTATCGTTTATACTTTTCACACAAATATAAATTATCCTAAAATTTTCAATTGCTTAAAAAACGGGACATGCCAACGACTTTCTAGTTCAACATACATATTTACATGCAATTTACTGGTAATTATTCGTTACCTTCAAGATTACGCTTCACTGACACTGTCAATTTCATTCAAATAATATGGTGGGGTCAATTCTGGAACGATTTTAACGAGTGTGATACGACTAGAAGCAGAATTGTCACTAGTGTATTTGTTCATTTTTAATTTCTGTTGAAATAAATACAAGCGGTATTATGTACCCGCGTCTTCATGAGGCTAAAACAAAAACAGTTGCAAACTAACACACAATAGGATACTAATATCTAAGATTTCTGATTGGGGTCAGCTAATTTCTTTGAAATTTTGACATAGCACAGGAATACTTGTTTGGGTTCATGATAGACCGCACAAAGTCATTAAAATGATGATTTCTCTTTCATGTGCCCATTTCCCGTTCTTGGAGTAGGGGAGATAACTTGCGTAACTAACGATGCACGTTTTGAATCCCGATTTCCGCTAGAGGCGTGCAATTACGTATACTTCGCCTTAATGTAAAAAACAACCTTTAGTCACCTCTTGTCTTAATTAGGAAAATATTATGTTTTACATCTATTTATTGATATGCATTATTCCAAGGACATGTTTAGTTTAAAGATATAATTAGGAAGGTATAATAATAGAGGCCTTCCTAAATGATACTCATCACTGGAATGTACACTGAAGGTATCATTGATAAAATAAATTAAAATAGGGACCACACCTTCTCTTCAAACATGTCTGCATTCTGCCAATCCATATAAGGCAAAACATCAACAGTCTCCTTGGCAACCAAATCAGCAATTGATGGTCCATCTGTCTTTTCTTCATCCTACATTAAAAAATTACCACACATTTGTTGTATGTTAATTGGGTTTAATAAACTGTTGACACAGAGATATGTCTCATCTGCATGTAATTTTGATAGGAAAATTCAAATGTTGAAATGTAATACTTTAAAAGTTAAACAATGCAAAACATATAAAGTCAATAAACTATGACTAACGATGCAGACAGGGTCAAATAATTTCTATTGAAATGAGATGTGCCAAAGCTAATACAACTGCATACCACATATCATTGACCTACCGCTAGTGGTTTCATTAACTGACCTAATCTCAGACTAATACATGTTAACTAAGCAAGATTCAAAGTCAATAGATTATGACTAAGGGGCAGGGCCAAATAATCTCCATGGAAATAAGATGTGCCAATGCTAATACAACTGTATACCAAATATCATTGACCTCACAGTAAACTGACCTTATCACAAACCAATACATTGTTGACACCACCATTGCCACCCCCCCCAAAAAAACAGCACACCTATGTCTTGCTTTTCGTCAATATGAGACAATAATGCATATACAGGTGTAACACCACTAATTCGGGCCCGGCCAGAAAGCACATACCAGAAAGTAGTACATATTTAACACAAAATAGTTCCTACGCATGGGTGTAACTTTCAAAATATGTAGAATATTTAGGTAATTTTGGTATCAAATGAAAGCTGAATGACTGGTGATCATTGTAGAACACTGTTTGACTTATAATTTTGAAAAATAAAAAAATTGCATGAAATTTAAAAAAGAGGGTACATTTTGCCTGTTTGTCAGATCTGAAGTACCTGTTTTGGTATATCTGAAGTTCCGGGAACCAGTTCTTTCTTATATGCCATTAAAGGTATGTTGATTTTTTCAGTACAAGGCACCATAAAGTGTTGCTTTGACATGCAATGATTGTCACTTTATTTGAACTTGAAACAAAAGAGCTATGCCTGCTTGAAATTGGGGAATTTAACATAGAAAGCAATGGGGCCATGAATTAGTGGTGTACTTCCTACAACTACTGCAAACGTTTTTGAACAAACAAATATAAGGAGTTGTCAATTGAATGTATAAATAACAGCTGAATCTCAACAAATTGATACCAATTTTTAATAAACATATTAAATAAGAACAAGATTTGTCAAATAGCTCAATGGAAACTGAAATAGAAGTATTTCCCTAAGTTAATAGCACCACACTTATAAAACATACTATTATTAAATCTATGAAGAAAGACAATGGTAAATATAGTAGCACTATGATATCATGGCCATTGGAAGACCACTGAAATGGGATGATAAACATGTTATTCTTATAAACTGATACTTTTTAAGATGGTACATAACACTACAGGGAGACAACTCTGTAAAATTCAAATGAACATTTTAATCATGTTCTATTGTTTAGGAAATATAAAAGCCTCCCAATGATCAAAATTAGTGTTTGTCAAACTGCTATATATCAAATGATTTTTTCCGATAAAGTGTGTGGTTCAAGATTTTAAAAATTTTTATAGTTGTGTTAAAGGGTCAAAGAAAATATTTTGTCAAAATTTAAGAAAATGAAACAAGCCCGATTAATTTTAGTCATGGTGTTTGGTACCACCTTAAAAGACACAAAAACCTTTTATAACATTGACTTACTTTTTCTCTCTCTTCCACAGCTATGAAGCTTGTATAGGGAGTAACTATAGAGTATTCTTTGCTCAGATCTATGATGTAGGATTTCTTCTCCAATTTTTGGACCTTTAAACATAACAAGCATTCTGTGAGTATTGCATGGCAATACATAGTCCCCTACCGGTTACAAATTCATTGTAATTGAACGAAATTCTTACTTGATCTATAACTTGTCATGGTATAAACTACATAAAAATATCAAGTCAAAATCTTCAAGCATGACGAAAAAAACTGTTGAAAACTGATTATTTAAGTAAATTTTCTATGTCCAAAGACCATAACTCTGCAAAAAATTATCAGACTGGAACAAAATTCCAACTTGATCTGTAACTTGTCATGATAAAACTATATACTAATTATCAAATCAATATCTTCAAGAATGACAAACAAACCTACACTAAATTCTTCAAACAATTTACCAAAGAAAAGGAAAAAAGTCCAAAATGTCATTTTGTCTTTTAAAAATCTTATGAGTTATAAAAAATCAGTTATTTCCCTTTGAACAGAAATCTACTAATTAATAAGTATTTTATCAAAAATTTAATTCTAGGGAAAGGGCTTTAACTGAACAAAGAGAAAAGCTAAAATCATGAAAATTGAACTTGACCTGTAACTTGTCATGATAAATCAATAAACCAAATATCAAATCAATATCTTCAAGCATGAAGAAAAAAAGTCTGGAAAACTGATTTGCCAGACTGACAGACGGACAGACAGACAGACAGACGGACAGACAGACAGACAGACGGACAGACGGACGGACGGATGGACGGACAGACAGACAGACAGACAGACAGACGGACAGAGTGCAAACCTAAAGTCCCCTTCGACTTTGTCGGTAGGGGACTAATAACCATACATGGAATTCATCATCTTGAAGATTTATATCAAATAAATCCGATTTATTTTAAAATACAGTTCTTATTCCTTCTACTATATATGTCAAGTGTATTTGGAATCCATCCTTTTACACCCGAACTTCTACATGTATTTACCTAATTTGGACCTATACACATGATAACCTTAAATTGCATTCATTATTTCAAATATCTATATAATGTAAATCATATTTCTTATAAAATACAGTTCTTATTTCTTTCAATGGTGTCAATTTTTTTTTTTAATCTATACTTCTATACTCAAACTTGTAACAAATTTTCTTGGATATATTCATGTGTCTCTTTCAGGACCAATGATCATGACTCTTTTCCTCCCAGATGTTATGCAAGTAAAGGTTACATTGACAAGGGTCATAATCACATGACCTTCAACAGTGTTTACCTTCTTACAATATCTATAGCTCAAACTAGTGTAAATTCAGAAATTATTGCGAGGTTCTTATTAATGCGAATAATACGACGAAATGAGTATCACAATAATAAAAACTTGCATTCTGATATCTGATACATATAACTATATGCAGATTTTCCTGAAATCGCAATAATTAATCTCACATTTTAGTCCATTCTTCAAAATTTCGCAATAATAAATTCATGCAATAATTTCTGAATTTACAGTATGACAATTCAGCATTTTAATCAAATTGTTCTTGAATCACTTACTACTGTGAATTCAGAAATCAAGGTATTTATTATTGCAAATCACTGATTACAGGTCAAAATGTGAAATCTTATTAATGTGATTCCCAAAATTTTGTCAAGGAAAAGCTCTAATGCAAGTTTTATTATTGCAAACCTGATCCTGTTGCATTTTTTGCATTAATATTAAAAATATCACAATAATTTCTGAATATACAGCGTCAAGGTATACAAGATGTTCAGAAATATATCTTTCTTTGTTTCCATCAGATAAGTCAAAACAAATACACTAAAGCCTTGTATTAAAATCTTTGATATGATCGTTCTGTAATCATAATTTGGTCCTACCTGATCCTGTGTATTATTACTGGAGAAAACCCCATCTTCATAGTCTCTGATCATGGCTCTAGCTGTCAGCTGATGTAACATCTGTACAAAATAAAGATAGGTGATCAACTTATTGGATAAAATAGATACAAATATAGGATAGATGTAAGAAAAGTAAAAACTTTTTTATATGATGCTTATTATCTATATAAAAAGCTAGTGATGGGCAAGGCTTACCTAGCCATTCAAGAAATGGGCAAGGCTTACCTAGCCCTTCAAGATTTAGGTGCTGTAACATAAAAAAATTATATATTTCTAACACCGACCTAATAAAGAAGCCTCAGCAGATTCAGTGAACAGAAATTTGTGACCTTCAAATCAAAATTGCTGCCCACAAATCTTCAAATATCATACTGTATCAAAAGCAATAAAAATTGGATGCAGTCTGCCAGTCTTCCACATAAATCACAATAAAAAAAAGAAACATGACATTTGTCATAAAAAGACTTACTTTGCCCTTGGTCATATTCAGCTCTGTGGTTGACACCATGGTACAGAATTCATTACCATCAACTGAAGCACTTAACTTTGCCTGAAAAATAACAATAATTGAGTACTAAAATAATCATGTTTTATTACCAAATACCAATTTTCCTATCATCGTTTGTTTTATTTGTGACAATAATTGGGTATAAAATTGTAAAAATAAAATCAAGCAATAAATAAAAACAATTGTACTTAGAACAATGCAAAGCAATGGGAAATATTTCTCAAATAAATAAATTTAAAACGAATAAAGAACTTTGCAATTAATATATATATTCTCAATTACCACATTTCTTTAAAGATCCATGGGCATCAAATGTGATTTTAGTTTAATTCTTACCTGTGTACAATTTGGGACAAACCCATAAACTACCTGCCGAGTACCATTAAACAGGGATGGGATTATACATGGAGCCTGGATTATATTACTGTGTTTAGCATAGTATATCCACTGTACGCTGACCCCAGAAACACCTGGTTGACAAGCTCTCTCAGTCTGGCCTTCAATCTGTGGAAATGGACCATGTGAATGCATGTTTTATTGTGATTGTTGAAAAAACCCATACTAATTCTAGATCATTTATTGCAGATCCAGGAAATGCTGCATAACAACAATGCTATATAGATGAATTGTGAATCAAATGAAACATTTCCACAGAGTCATCTCCTATTATTGTTCAATCCATTTAAAGTTTGTCAGCTCTTTTGTCCCATTCAATAAATACAATAGCTATTGTTCTCTGTGTAGTTATTTCATTGGGACCTTTAAATTTCTTCTAAGAGAAATCTATCACTCATTGATTAATTTGCCTGAGTAAAAAAATATTTTCTAAATAGATGAAAATACAAAGGAGTTTTTATGGAAAATTTTTTTTTTGTTCGCAATAAAATATATAAAAAATATAACAATAATTCCTGAATTTAGAGTTTGTAAGAATATTGACCCACTAGTTGAATAATTTGTTTTTATTTTTAATACTTTGAAACTTGAAGCCAACTTATTTTCACGAGTAATTTATTTTTTGTGACTTTTACAAGTAGAAAAATATTGCTGTGAATATGATACTGATGTCTTCTCTTTTTTAATACATCAATAAGAACTGTCAACCGGGAAAATAAATCTCCCAGAATTTAGTTAAAAAGGGATAACCAAGGAAAAAAGAATAGCAGAAAATTACTTGTTTTACAATATTTGAATGATCAAGTAATGCACTCCAATGCCTCAATATTCTTATACACTTTAAATACAGGAAATTTGGCTATATCATGGTGACCAGTTATATAAGTGGAGGAAGCCTTAGTCCAAATAGACCACAACCTTTTGACAGGGCAATCATTGTTAATTAAGATCAGTGTTGAACACATCTTGCAATGAGGTGAGGCTTTCATAGCGAGGTTTTAACTCACAACCTCAGAGCTCAAGTGTTAGTCTGAAGTTGTATTACTGTAGAATGCACATGCTTACACAGACTATTGTTTATTCATCATTATTCGTGGGATACCAATTCTCATGGATTTCGTGGGTATAGGCGAACCAAAATTTAATTGTTCCACGTATTTCCTATAGGTGTTATGCAGACTTTTTTAAAAGCATGAAGTTAAATATCCACGACAATGTCATTTTTCCTTAATCCACGAAAATAAGTGAATCCACAGTAATCAGTTATTAAGATATTGAGACCACAATAAAATCTGTTACTTTTAAAAAGACATAATTTTTTTGTCCCCATTCATAAAATATTGATAATGGTCAATGCTAACCTTTGACTGCCAATTAGACTTAGTTTTGTTGTTGTAATATTGGTTTGTTCCTCCACCAGATGTCGCTAGTGTCTTCATTAAGTGATGATTTACTGCAGGACTGAGAAAATAGATGAATTATTATTTTATATTGTACCAATTAAGGAAATTCTTTCCAACAATACTTTCAATATTGCCCAAATTTTCAATGGTATGAGAACTTTAGTAAGTATATTATATGTCCAATTTAACTCTGAAATTGATTTTTGATGACAATTCAACATTGACTTTGCACTGCAGTTACAATACAGTTTTTGTCAAAAAATTTATAAAACATTTTACACTTGTGTTTGTGCTGACATCATGTAAATAAACAAATACATGTGCTAATAAAATGCTCCGCAGGGCGCAGCTTGATACGACCGCAGAGGTCGAACCCTGAACAGTTGGGGCAAGTATGGACACAACATTCAAGCTTGATACAGCTCTGAATTTGAATTGTGATTAAATATTTGACACAGCATAGGTTTCTGACACAGAATGAATGTGGTCTAAGAACTTAAAAATTTTAAATTGGACATTCACCTATTATGGTCCAATATCCAAAATCTAAATACATGGTTAGATTCAGCATATCAAAGAACCCCAAGAATTCAATTTTTGATGAAATCAAACAAAGTTTAATTTTGGACCCTTTTGACCTCAATGTGGACAAAGTTGATAACGGGGCCCAAAAATAAAAAATCTAAATACATGGTTAGATTCAGCATATCAAAGAACCCCATATATTCAATTTTTGTTGAAATCAAACAAAGTTTAATTTTGGACCCCGATTTGGACCAACTTGAAAACTGGGCCCATAATCAAAAATCTAAATACATGTTTAGATTCAGCATATCAAAGAACCCTAAAAATTCAATTTTTGTTAAAATCAAACTAAGTTTAATTTTGGACCCTTTGGTTCTTAATGTAGACCAATTTGAAAACGGAACCAAAAATTAAGAATCTAAATACACGGTTAGATTCGGCATATCAAAGAACCCAAATAATTAAATTTTTGATGAAATCAAACAAAGTTAAATTTTGGACCCTTTGGACCTCAATGTGGACCAATTTAAAAACGGGGCCCAAAATCCAAAAACTTAATACACGATTAGATTCAGCATATTAAAGAACCCCAAGAATTCAAGAATAAAACCCCATTGAAATTGATCAAGAAATAAGCTATTTATACAAAGTATCTTCTTTTGCACAATACTGTGCAATTGACAATTTCTTGCTATTGCGCAATATTGTGCTATTGGATATTTCTTGCTATTGCGCAATACTGTGCAATTGAAGATTTCTTGCTATTGCGCAATACTGTGCAATTGAAGATTTCTTGCTATTGTGCAATACTGTGCAATTGAAAATTTCTTGCTATTGCACAATACTTATTATATAATAATTTACACATTCTGTTTGGTGTGTATCTCCTACCATATCATTATTATTTGCTTTTAAATATTAATCAGAAATAACCAACTTAAAATAGAAAATTTTAAAAGAAAAAAAAAGGAAAAAAATAAAAAAAAAATAAAACCCCCCCCCCCCCCCCCCCCAATTTTATGAACCCCCTTATGATTCATCTCCCCCAAACTCAATTCCAGCCTTCCCTTTGTGGTATGGTACCTTGCAGTACAATTTCAGAGAGATCCATACACTTGAACACAAGTTATTGTCTGGAAACTAGAAAAATGCTTATTTTTGGCCCCTTTTTGGCCCCCAATTCCTAAACATTTGGGGCAATTACCCCCAAACTCAATTCCAGCTTTCCCTTTGTGATATGGAACCTTGTAGTACAATTTCAGAAATATCTAAACACTTACACACAAGTTATTGTCATGAAACTAGAAAAATGCTTGTTTTTTGCCCCTTTTTTGGCCCCTAATTCCTAAAATTTTGAGGCAATTACCCCCAAAATCAATTACAGCCTTCCCTTTGTGATATGGAACCTTGTGGTACAATGTCAGAGAGATCCATACACTTACACACAAGTTATTGTCTGGAAGTTACAAAAATGCTTATTTTTGGCCCCTAATTCCTTAACTGTTGGTACCATAACCCCCAAAATCAATCCCAACTTTCCTATCGTGGTATTGAACCTTATGGTAAAATTTCATGGAGATCCATTCACTTAAACTAAAGTTAGAGTGTGAAAACCAATGTGTCTTCGGACGACGCCGGACAACGCCAGACGACGCCGGACGACGACGACGACGACGCCAATGTCATACCAATATACGACCAAAAAATTTTTAATTTTTGCGGTCGTATAAAAAGTTAAACACGTAAAGTTTTGTATTATTAAAAAGGATTTTAAAAAAATCCAACCTGACAAAATTTAAGGTTCATTATAACCTTTTTTCAAATACATGTATGACCTTATTTACACCACAAAATTTACTCAAATGTAAAGAAAAACCTGTATACTTCATAAAGTTTTAAAGGCATGGCAGTAACTATAGAATTAAATTTTAAAAGCAGTATATATTTCAGAAACTTATAAACTTTTATGGATTTTGCTCCTAATCTAACTACTCAGAATTCTAAACACAGGGATATTACCATAATGTAATTCCATTTAAATATTGTTGATGAATTCTCAAGGAGTGGCTGAAGGTAAAGTCCCTTTCAATGAATAAAAGAGATGCTACTTAATTAGCAGCAGAGCATAAAAGATAGATTTTTTTATTATACCTAAGTTATCATTTTCTATATAAAATAAGTACACAATATTTTGAATATTTTTCAAATTGCAAGCGTTGAACTATTGGACCTTGAAGAAACTATTTGACCGCAAGCGTCATTATATTTCGCGGAATTTCAAATGCAGCTACAGGATTGGAGGATTTTGAAAATACAGCGGGAGTTACGACGTCAGGTTTTACCTATTGTATCTAGCATTGACGTCAGTGCAGGACTTTCAGAATATTTATGAAGTAAATGTTAAACAGAATGGTTGGGTTTCTGCTTTTTATATTACAATAGTTGAATTATCCCCGCCATTTATGGTCTGTTGTCTTTTTCCATATATTAAAACACTTACTGACTCGATACTTGTAGAATAGTAAGTTTATTGTCCTCTTGGATACAACTATTGCCCTCGGCTACACCTCAGGGCAATAGTTGCACCTCGGGGCAAATAAACTTACTATTCCACTCATACCCAGTCAATAAGTATACAATATACATACCCAACTCCTGCAGTGAAAAGTCGATTCTGAGAGCTCATTTTTCTGACCAGTGATAAGGTTTCCTCAACACTGGTCATGTGACCATCTGATATAAGAATGATACTTCTACTGCCCTCTGGTGGACTGAGTAAGAACAAGGACTGTAACAAGGTTACGACAACTGTTCCTCCTTGGTCACATTCAGTTGACTGTAAATAAAAGACAGATAGGTATGTCAAGTAATTATATCACTATTCATACATTTGTTAATACAATTATTTTTCACAGGAATGAACCATTCCATGTCAAATTAAAGATGATCTTACCTGTATAAAGTTTGTAGCTTTTTGTACTGCATCTTTCGTTTTGAGTTGTGGTGATGGAAATAGCTCTTTAAATGTTGTACCAAACGAGATCACATTGAAACTGGACTTGTCTGGTAACTTTGTCAAAGACAATAGGAAAACCTGAAACACAAAATAGAAATAAATTATATAAAGAAAAACATTTAAATAAATTTTTGTATCAAATATATATATAACAAAGTCAATTTATTGATAAAAAACGAAAAAAAAAAAATTTTTTTTTAAATTTTGCTATGGATGCCGTCTCTTAGTCATAGAAATGCTACTGTTCAAGTTTTGTAAAATTCAATGCAGGTCTGACAAAGATATTGTCTAAAAAGAACTTAAACCACAGACTGAACTTATGTGTTGACAACAAGCTTAAACTAGAACTTTTGAATTAGAAATTATGATCAATATTCTTTAGTAATCAAAGCTCTGTACACTCAACTTCTGCTAAATTTGTACAAAACAATCAGTTCTAAAAAGGTTTGGTTTAGACAAATGTTGTTACTTTACTTTTTTTTAAGCAAGGCTTCCTTATTTTTTTCTTTCACATCATTTATACATTACCTTTTTAGCATCCCGCCCTGCTTGACCTTTCATAGAATTAGACATATCTAATAAATAAACTACTTCCTGTTGTGGATCAAAATCTGCATCAAACTCTGGATAAAATGTCAGCATGCAAGCCTAAAATAAATTATCCATAAATAATGAATACATAAAAAGCAAATGTAGTACATTTTGGATGTACAAACCAAGAGACAAAAACTGAGGTAATCAAATAAATGCTTTGTTAAAGTGCGTCAATAGGGTTAGCATCTCTACTGTACATGCATCCCCCTCCAGCCAACTCTAGACATTGTAAAAAAGTTCAGGATATGGAATAAAATTACAGAAATATATTGCTATTTAAAAAGCCAGTTTTAACTTATGTTAAATGCTATAAGTAAACTATTGTCCCAAATTCAATTGCTTCATGTCATTTGTCATTGCCTCAATTTGCTTTCATTTAAGAACTCTATGAGGTGCTGTTGTTTGAAATATTTGGTTGGTTTTTGGTTTAATCTTGTTTTGTTAGGTTGTGGTGCATTGTAGTTTGGATATGTTGTTGGGTTTTTTGGTACACTTTTCTGAATGATATATGGGTGTGCGCTGGACAATATAAAAAGAGACAAATATGGGATCCAGATTCTACAAAATATTGCAGATATCATAAAAACTAAAAAAAAATTATTTTAAATGCAAACTTAGGAAATAAATATTGTAACAAAGTAATAGCATATCACATTTCCTTATACCATTTTGTAGGTTAAGATGAGTTGGTGCTCACAAAAATCAGTATCTAAATTTAGTAGTTTGGTATCTGTGCATTTACATATACTAATCCTAATATGGATAAAAGTCATAAGATGGACACAATAACGCGTCAATATCTACTCTGTACTAAGCACCATACCAGCTACTATTTTTTATTAGAATAATTACATGATCTGCAGATAATGAAACTGAACTTTGCACCATGTTTCTATTATTACTTTTTGTTACTATGGTTACCTGACTGTCCTTGTTAGGATGATTCTCTACCCACATTCGAGGAACATGTATTTCCGCCATGGTAACCAATAGCTGAAAACCATCATCTAACTGGTTATTTTTAGGTAACTCCACTACTGCCTTGGTGGCTGTTGTCTGAAGAAGATTAGAATATTGTAAAGAGCACTGTAAATACAAAATATTAATGAGAGGTGGCAACAAGATTTTACAACATGGAAAAAGAAAGTACATATGATTAACATAAATCTTACTCTCAAATACTAGTTTTTCAACTTATAACTGTAAATTCAGAATTTCTACTACATGCATTTATCATTGCGATTGTTAAATAGTGGACAAAAATTGAGATTACATATTGCGATTTTAGGAAAAGCTGTCATACAAATAATGATATCAAAATTTAAAATGCGAGTTATTATTTATGTGACACCTATCCTATTGCAATGATAATAAAATGCTCCGCAGGGCGCAGCTTGATACGACCGCAGAGGTTGAACCCTGAACAGTTGGGGCAAGTATGGACACAACATTCAAGCTTGATACAGCTCTGAATTTGGATTGTGATTAAATATTTGACACAGCATAGGTTTCTGACACAGAATGAATGTGGTCTAAGAACTTAAAAATTTTAAATTGGACATTCACCTATTATGGTCCAATATCCAAAATCTAAATACATGGTTAGATTCAGCATATCAAAGAACCCGAAGAATTCAATTTTTGATGAAATCAAACAAAGTTTAATTTTGGACCCTTTTGACCTCAATGTGGACAAAGTTGATAATGGGGCCCAAAAATCAAAAATCTAAATACATGGTTAGATTCAGCATATCAAAGAACCCCATATATTCAATTTTTGTTGAAATCAAACAAAGTTTAATTTTGGACCCTGATTTGGACCAACTTGAAAACTGGGCCCATAATCAAAAATCTAAATACATGTTTAGATTCAGCATATCAAAGAACCCTAAGAATTCAATTTTTGTTAAAATCAAACTAAGTTTAATTTTGGACCCTTTGGTTCTTAATGTAGACCAATTTGAAAACGGAACCAAAAATTAAAAATCTAAATACACGGTTAGATTCGGCATATCAAAGAACCCAAATAATTCAATTTTGGATGAAATCAAACAAAGTTTAATTTTGGACCCTTTGGACCTCAATGTGGACCAATTTAAAAACGGGGGCCCAAAATCCAAAAACTTAATACACGGTTTGAATCAGCATATTAAAGAACCCTAAGAATTCAAGAATAAAACACCATTGAAATTGGTCAAGAAATAAGCAATTTATACGAAGTATCTTCTTTTGCACAATACTGTGCAATTGAATATTTCTTGCTATTGCGCAATACTGTACAATTGACAATTTCTTGCTATTGCGCAATATTGTGCTATTGAATATTTCTTGCTATTGCACAATACTGTGCAATTGAAGATTTCTTGCTATTGCACAATACTGTGCAATTGAAGATTTCTTGCTATTGTGCAATACTGTGCAATTGAAAATTTCTTGCTATTGCACAATACTTATTATATAATAATTTACACATCCTGTTTGGTGTGTATCTCCTACCATATCATTATTATTTGCTTTTAAATATAAAACAGAAATAACCAACTTAAAATGGAAAATTTTAAAAGAAAAAAAAAAGGAAAACAGGAAAAAAAAGGAAAAAAAAAAAAATCCCCCCCCCCCAAATTTTTGAACCCCCTTATGATTCATCACCCCCAAACTCAATCCCAGCCTTCCTTTTGTGGTATGGTACCTTGCAGTACAATTTCAGAGAGATCCACACACTTGAACACAAGTTATTGTCTGGAAACTAGAAAAATGCTTATTTTTGGCCCCTTATTCCTAAACGTTTTGGGCAATTACCCCTAAACTCAATTCCAGCTTTCCCTTTGTGATATGGAACCTTGTAGTACAATTTCAGAAAGATCCATACATTTACACACAAGTTATGGTCCTGAAACTAGAAAAATGCTTGTTTTTTGCCCCTTTTTTGGCCCCTAATTCCTAATATTTTGATGCAATTACCCCCAAAATCAATCCCAGCATTCCCTGTGTGATATGAAACCTTGTGGTACAATGTCAGAGAGATCCATACACTAACACACAAGTTGTGTCTGGAAGTTACAAAAATGCTTATTTTTGGCCCCTAATACTTAACTGTTGGTACCATAACCCCCAGAATCAATCCCAACCTTCCTTTTGTGGTATTGAACCTTATGGTAAAATTTCATAGAGATCCATTCACTTAAACTAAAGTTAGAGTGCGAAAACCAATGTGTCTTCGGACGACGACGACGACGCCAATGTCATACCAATATACGACCGCAAAATTTTGCGGTCGTATAATAAAAAGGACATAAAAATTCAGAATTTCCAGTATTAATTTACTTTTAGTTATATGAAAATGAGATTAAAATCAAAATCAGAATATGGTTTTTATGTAAAACAATGAATTAGTAATCAGTAAAACAACTGGAATTACAGGGCAAAGCCTTTTCTGAAGAATTATACACTGATGTACTGCATATCACAGTAAAATCAATAAAATATTGGATTTTTCCAATTTTAAACTTATTAGTCAGTAGAAATTTCTGGACAATTTTCTTAATGTATAGGGACATTGAGGGACGAAGAGACACAATCACACCTGTTCTAATTAGTTTAACTTGACTTACAGAAAACTTGAAAATGGTTCTATATTAAAGTCCTAATGGACTTAGTGACAAAGGACAGTAACTCAAAATATATATACTGAGTCTGCACAAAACTTTGCAATGACTAACGTCACATGTGACGGATCAATTCTGTCAATCAGTAGTCTCATTCCTTTTGTAAGTATACTGAGATTTTGCATTACAAAACATACTCACATATAAAAAAAGCAAATCTCAAAGGTCTGCTGAAAAAGAAACCCTCAAAAATCAATCTGATAAGTTATCTACCTTGACTTTAATTCTGTGTGTTGGTGATTTAACATTTCTAATATCAAAGGGCATTTCCATGGCAACTTGTAAAGACAGATCACATCTTCCAGTGTCCTTGACCTTCAAAGATGTTAGCTCAGACTGCAAAGAAAATATATAAATGTATAATTCAAATATCACAACTCTTATAAATGATAACAGAGACAATGTCTGCTTACATTATGTGAAAATGTATTACATTAACAGCCTATGCTTGTTGTACTGAAATCATGTCAAAACAAATAGCATGATAAACAGATTATCGGGTTTTCTGCACTTAGATATCATAAAATATCAGCCTCTTGACACGATGTGAAGCTTTTTTGCTCATTGCCTGCACTCACTTGCCTTAAAGGTTTTCATAATGGCTCGCAGCTGACATGGGACATATATGATGCCCCCGCTTGCATATAATGTTATAAAGGGACATTACTCAAGAATGGTAAAAGTGACGCTACCCAAATTTGTACTTTATCTGAGGTTATAAGCATTGTGTATAAGTTTCATAACATTTGGTTGAGGCAAACTTAAGTTAGAGAACAGAAACGAATAAAATGCTTCGCTGGGGCGCAGCTTGATACGACCGCAGAGGTCGAACCCTGAACAGTTGGGGCAAGTATGGACACAAAATTCAAGCTTGATACAGCTATGACTTTGGATTGTCATTAAATATTTGACACAGCATAGGTTTCTGACACAGGATGAATGTGGTGTAAGAACTGGAAAAAATTTAATTTACCTATTATGGTGGAATATCCATAAACTAAATTGTTTGTTAATTTCAATATATCAAAGAATATGTAGAATTCAATGTTTGATGTAATGTAATAAAGTTGAAATTTGGACCGTTTTTGTTCAATGTGGACCAATTTGGTAACATGTATAAATAATCAAAAATCTAAATACATGGGAGCCCATTTAAATACATCATAAAGGTATTAAAATAGAAAGTGACATCATAGTCATGGCTAAAAATAAACAAAAATCCTTAATCAGCAACATTTAAAGTAATATCTAAAAATAAAATTCCTTTGTAACCATAAAAGCCCATTTAAATACATCATAAAGATATTAAAATAGAAAATGACATCATAGTCATGGCTAAACATAGCAAAAAACCCTTAATCAGCATCATTTAACAGTAATATCTAAAAATGGAAATTACATCATAAAGGTATTAAAATAGAAAATGACATCATAGTCATGGCTAAAAATAAACAAAATCCTTAATCAGCATCAGCAACATTTTATAGTAATATCTAAAAATAAAATTCCTTTGTAACCATAAAAGCCCATTTAAATACATCATAACAGATATTAAAATAGAAAATGACATCATAGTCATGGCTAAACATAGCAAAAACCTTAATCAGCATCATTTAACAGTAATATCTAAAAATAAAAATTTCTTTGCAACCATAAAAGTAAAATAGAAAATGACATCATAATCATAGCTAAAAATAAACAAAAATTTTTTTTATTGGCAAATTTTAAATGGAGTTTATTATACTAAAACAATAAATTTGCAACCATAAACATGATAAAACCCCATTTAAACATAAAAGTATTAAATAATTCAACTACATCATAAGGCTATAAAAATAGAAAATGACTTCATAGTCAAGGCTAAAGGTAAACAAAAAACCTTCATCAGCAAAATTTTATATTGGCAAATTTCCAATGAAGTTTATTACACTAAAATTGTTGGCAAATTTCCAATGCATTTATTAACAATAAAGTTATTGGCAAATTTCCAATTTACATAATTTAAAAGCAGTGTAGATGAGATATTTAAATGAGTTTGAATTACCAACCTTACACTGCTTTTAAATAATGTTCTTTACTCAATTATTTGTCTATTAAAATGGAAACCCTTGTTTTTTAACCTTTTTTCCCCTTATTCCTTAAACATTAGAGCCATAACCACCACCCCCCCCCCCCCCCCCCCCCCAAAAAGCCAATTATTACTTTCCAATGTAACCTAAATTTCCAATATACATAATTTTAAATTTCAATTCCTCATGATATATAACCGTATCATTATTATTTTCTTTCATATATAAATCTGAAACAACCATCTTTAAATGGAAAATTTTAAAGAAAAAAAAAGGAAAAAAAAAAATCCTACCTCCCACACATTTTTTCAACCCCCTTTTGATTCATCATCCCCCACCTCAATCACAACCTTCAATTTGTGGTATGGTACATTGCAATACAATTTCACAGAGATCCATACACTTGAACACAAGTTTTTGTTGCAAACTAAAAAAATCCTTATTTTTGACCAATATTTGGCCCCTTATTCATAAATGTTTGAGCAATTAACCCCAAAACTCAATTCCTACTTTCTCTTCGTGATAAAAAATAACTAACATTAAATGTAAATTTTAAACAAAAAAAAAAGGAAAAAAAAAAATTACCCCTTTTTTGACCCCCGCCCCCCCTTATGATTCATCACCCCCACCCCCCTTTCCCCCCAAACCAAGCTCAATAACAGCCTTGCCTTTGTGGTATGGTACCTTGTAATACAATTTTAGAGAGATCCATACACTTGAACACAAGTTATTGTCTAGAAACTAAAAAATGCTTATTTTAAACCCCTTTTTAGGCCCCTTATTACTAAACGTTTTGGGCAATTACCACAACACTCAATTCCAGCTTTCCCTTTGTGAAATGGAACCTTGTAGTAAAATTTCAGAAAGATCCATACACTTACACACAAGTTATTTTCATGAAACTAGAAAAATGCTTGTTTTTTGCCCCCTTTTGGCCCCTTATTCCTAAAATTTTGAGGCAATTAACCCCAAAATCAATCCCAGCATTGACCCTTTGTGATATGGAATCTTGTGGTACAATGTCAAAGAGATCCATATGCTAACACACAAGTTATGTCTGGAAGTTACAAAAATGCTTATTTTTGGCCCCTTTTTGGCCCCTAATTCCTTAACTGTTGGTACCATAACCCCCAAAATCAATCCCCACCTTCCTATTGTGGTATTGAACCTTATGGTAAAATTTCATAGAGATCCATTCACTTAAACTAAAGTTAGAGTGCGAAAACCATTGTGTATTCGGACGACGACGACGACGACGCCAACGTCATACCAATATACGACCTCAAAATTTTTTTGCGGTCGTATAAAAACTCAGCAATTTTTCCATTTGTAAAGGGGCATAGTTTAGAACAATAAAAGTGACGCCACCAAAATTCTAACTTGATCTGTGTTTTGTCAGAGACATATAATACAAGAGATTCGCAACTCTAGTAGAGTCTATATAACAGCCAATGAAATGACGTGGCCACCGGAAAGCCGATTATTCCGATGGATTTATGGGTAAAAATAGCTATTGTTGTGAAAAAGGTTCTACGCCTCACGATTTTTTTAATGGAGAATGCCGATACCTTTCACAGCATTTTATAGCCTACATTTTGTTCGGCAATTTATTCATTTTTAATTCTGTTTATGGCAAAGTTGTTTATTTTCTCCTATTCTGAAGTCATTGTTTTTTCTTCTTTTTAGGGTGGCGTGCCATAGATGAACGAATGCAGTAAATTTACAAAAGGAGTAAAATTTTCCTAGTAAAGGAAACCTTCTGCTGGTCGTAATATTGTGATTGAGCCTCATGCATCTGTTGTCGTTTCAGACTACGCTTCTCATTCAAAACATGAACCTAATTCATTTTTAAATTAAAATCGTATTAAGGACATTTCAATGGTGACTGCAAAAGATATATATATTTGATAATAAAAGATTTTTATTTACACCAATGATTTGTATATGTATACACATAAACAATCTTACTTTTAAACTGCCATCTCTTTACCCCAGAATAAAAAAGACAAAAACCACTACAAATGATTGTCTATTGGAAATAAGGTTATTAAAAACTTTTTAAATAGTGTCTTTCATGTTGCTTTGATGAATGACCTTGGCTCCCACTTCAAGGTTGTGTTTTTTTTATAGAATTTTTGTTGCTTCGAGGACACACATATCCATCTATGTATGCAGTATTGTCAATTGTTTTTGTTGGTGGGTCTCTCGCTTATGTCTTCGTCACTTTCACTATCAACAAAGAGTTCGTTATCAGTTTATTCAACTAGGAGAATATCTAAGTCGTAACTATTAAGATTGTCATCCCACGAAATAAAATCGGAATTTTCCACATTGCGTGCACATGAATGAAGCTTTATTCAAATGAGAAATTAATTGTAATTTTCTTAAATATTAATTCTCAATACACACTTCGAAAAGGAAGAAACCATAAATTTACCGACAATCATTTAAAAAAAAACTCAATGCAAGCCTATGATGAAACTGTCAAACAACACTTAGAAATCAAACATTTACCGACCGTCCTACAGAAAAAATCAATGCAAGCCCAATAAATGATGAATATAAAAATTAATAAATTTTTTATAATTTATAAATATCAAGAATAAAAAACAAAGCCTATCATGATTAACAATTAATTAACAAATGAATTAAGTTTTTTTCCACATTAATTAATTTTACATTTTGTGAATTGTATTTTTGGAAAGAGTGTGGACACCTGTGGTGTAACAACTTCTTGTTTACAAGGTGTCAATTAAAACTCATTATTTATCACATGTTCGTGATTTACCTGGTCATCGAATAATTCAAACCTAATATACATGTCACACTGTGAAATTATGTCTCCGAGACAGGTGTATATTCAATAGAAACCCATTATGTAACTATCAAATAAAATAAACTCTGATTCAATTTATCAAGTGTTAATTATTTAATATCAGTTTTTTTAATACAATATCAAATTATGTCTCTTTTTTCAATAATACAAATCTAAAATCAAAATTACATTAAAATAAATAATTATATTTGTATTAAAATTATTTAATTAATTATGATAAATTTAACACTGAAACAGTTTATGTTATGCTTAAACATTCGTCCGTACTTCGAGTACTTTTAATACTTTTATTAATGACTTTATTACCTAAGGAGATCTCGCGAGGTTTAACTAGTGGCCGCGTGTTATTACGGGATTTCGCCGAGTTGCGAATCTCTTGTATTATATGTCTCTGGTTTTGTGGTAATAAGCATTGTGTATAAGTATAATAACATTTGGTTGAGGCAAACTTAAGTTAGAGAACGGAAATGAAAAATTCAGCAATTTTTCCATTTGTAAAGGGGCATAACTCTAGAACGGTAAAACTTAATGCCCCTCCTCTACGGCGGGGGCCTAAAAAATCAGTGCCTTTGAAAAGAGGGGAGACAATTCTCAACTTAGTATTTATATAAAAAATCCGTGAAGTTAATTATACAATTTATTTAAATAACAAACAACTTACATTTACAGACATTTAAAAAATGTTCTGCTTTCATGCATTTACTGCAAAAGCAAATATTCAAAGTAGTAATATATAAAAATGAAACAAAGGAATTTGGTTTGAGATTGGTGTTGTCAGTTATTCAGTCCAAAAGATTATTGGAAATATGTTGTAAAAGTCAAATACATTAACAAAACATGAACAGTCATTGCAAAAAGTGCACCTAGCAGTAACATTATTTTACATTTAGTCTGCACCCATCTGTAACTTAAAAGAGCATTATTTACCTGTGTTTTCTGAGCCAGAGCTGTATCTTGTATCCATGGTGCTACTGACGCTGGTAAATTAAATGCTATAGCTTCATTCTCTGTCTGTAATTCTGATATGTATGTTATCTTGATCAAAACTCTCGCTTGTGGAGGTAGATTTCCTACACTTACAGTAAACACATCCTGTAAGAAAAAAATGAACATGTATTCCTTGTGGATTGGTATATGTTTTCCTATGAATATCTTAATTAACAAAGAAAATCCAATATACCTACATGATCTTATAAACATTAAAGAAACAAAACATTCTTTCAGATATCAAAACTTAGCTGAAATGCCTACAGTAAGAACTACAAGGTATGGCTTGAAATCTTTCAGATATTCTGCAGCCAAACTATGGAATGAGTTGCCAAACCACTTTAGAACCGAAACATCTTTTACCCAATTCAAGAGTCTAATAAACTCATGGAATGGCAACTCATGCCATTGCAATGCATGTGCTTAGTATTAACTTATTTTTATGTTTTATGTTACAGCTTTGAAACATAGTAGTGCTACTTATTATACTTCCACTCTTAGCTTTGAAACATAGTAGTGCTACTTATTATACTTCCACTCTTTTTTGTGTTGTATTTGCTTAGCTTTTTATAATTTGTGACTGCTGTGCTTTAGTGTTTTATGTTGCTGCTTCAATGTTGCTTTTAGCTTAGTGCTCATGCATGTATATAATGTGTAGTATTTAAATTAGTTCAGCCTTGCCTAACTGTGCATGAAATATATGTTTTATGTCTTTTATGCTTTAATATTAGTATTGTAAAATTGAGAACCCTATTCCCTGTTATATATACTTACTGTGTATGTTTATTGTGTAAATGCATGTATTTGTCGGTTATAAAATCTCAAAGAGCTTATGTTATTGTTTTGTGACATGCCGACTTCATAAAATAAAGCTTTTGATTTAAAGATGTTGAGAAATTCATTCAATTCAGATTAAGGATTTAGGAAGAGAAGCAGATACAAATATTTACTGTAGTGTGCAGATAGGATAAAGTCCATATCATGCCAAATTAAATCTAAAAATATTTGAATGAAGAAAAGAAAAAGGTTGTGCAAAAGTACATTAATTGAGTAATATTCAGTGAAAGATTCACAAAACTCTGTCTTGCCATTCAGGAGAAGTATTTGATACAAAAATATACTTATTAATTACACCATTTCTGTTCAAAGGGAAATAACTCAAAATAAATAAATCATATAATAAGTACAATGTATCACTTTTGCTACTGAAAGGTCTACAACTCAACAACGAGAACAGCTAAAATCGTGAAAATTGAACTTGACCTTCATTTAGTCACAGGAAACAACATATCTAAATTTAAAAAGATTTCGTCAAAGCGTTTTCATGTTAATGAACGGACATTGTTTGGCAGCCGCCTGCCCACCCGCCTGCCCGCCTGCCGTACATCCCGATATCAATAACCGATTTTTCCTCCCAAAATCCGGTTAAAAATAGATATTAGCACCATAACTGCCAACTTTCAACAGACGGAAAGATACCAGTACTCTGATCACTATACAATGTTCACTTCACAGAATTTGACAGACATACACTGTTTTATGTCCTTCCTATTTCCTGTTATGCATACTTACTGCTTCCATTTTATTCATTATGTATGCTCCATGTTTTTAACAGACTCATACTGATTCCTGTCTACCCTATTCCCTGTTATGTATACTTACTGATTTCCCTGCATCCTTTAGGTATGCTCCAAGTTTTTAACAGACACATATTGTTTCCTGTCTATCCTATTCTCTGTTATATATACTTACTGGTTGCCCTGCATCTATTATGTATGCTCCATGCCTTAACACACACATACTGTTTCCTGTCTACCCTATTCCCTGTTATATATACTTACTGGTTTTTTCACATCTATTATGTATGCTCCATGTCTTAACACAAACATACTGTTTCCTGTCTACCCTATTCCCTGTTATATATACTTACTGGATTCCCTGCATCAATTATGTATGCTCCATGATTTAACAGACACATACTGTTCCCTGTCTACCCATTTCCCTGTTATATATACACTTACTGGTTTGAACCGTTTCCCTGCATCCATTAGGTATGCCCCATGTCTTTAACAGAAATAAATGGAGAATGTGTCCATGGGACACAGATGATACCCCCACTTGCATATAACGTTATAAAAGGGCTTAACTCTAGAATGGTAAAAGTGACACCAACCAAATTCAAACTTGATCTGTGTTTTGTGGTAATAAGCATTGTGTATAAGTTTCATAACATTTAGTTGAGGCAAACTTAAGTTAGAGAACGGAAACAAAAAATTCAGCAATTTTTCCATTTGTAAAGGGGCATAACTCTAGAACAGTAAAAGTGACACCCCCCAAATTCAATCTTGATCTGTGTTTTTGTGGTTATAAGCATTGTGTATAAGTTTTATAACATTTGGTTGTTGTAAACTAAAGTTCGAGAACTGAAACGACAGATTTAGCAATTTTTCCATTTATAAAGGGGCATAACTCAAGAACGGTAAAAGTGACGCCACTCAATATCTAACTTGATATGTTACATAACATTTGGTTGAGGCAAACTAAAGTTAGAAAACGGAAACGAAAAATTCAGCAATTTTTATGTTTATAAAGGGGCATAACTCATGAACGGTAAAAGTGATGCCACCCAATTTCGACTCGATCTGTGTATTGTGGTAATAAGCATTGTGGATAAGTTTTATTACATTCAGTTAAGGCAAACTAAAGTTAAAAAACAGAAACGAAAAAATTCAGCAATTTTTATGTTTTATAAAGGGGCATAACTCATGAACAGTAAAAGTGACGCCACCCAATTTTGAACTTGATCTGTGTTTTGTGGTAATAAGCATTGTGTATAAGGTTTATAACATTTTGTTGAGGCAAACTAAAGTTAGAGAATGAAACCAATTTTGGGGACGTACGCGACAAACTGATGGGACGGACAAGGGTAACACTTAATGCTATTGTTTGTCTGCTTGTCTTTTTCTTTTTTAACCATGGCGTTGTCAGTTTATTTTCGACTTATGAGTTTGAATGTCCCTCTGGTATATTTCGCCTCTCTTTTAGTGCCCAATTCGCCTAGCAGCGGGGGCATACAAAGTTGTTTCCTGTCTACACTATTCCCTGTTGTGTATACTTACTGGTTCCTCTTCATCCATTAGGTATGCCCCATGTCCTTTACTTATGGCCTCTTTGTATTCCTTGTGAGCTGTTTCTTTTTCTTTTACTTCCCCTTTAATTTCAAAGAAATAGTTTAATATTTCTGATGCAATTTTCTGCTTTAACCGATGACTGCCATTTTTTTATATCGTCTCAACAAAAAATAAACCCATAATTATTAAAGGAGATCATCAAAAAACTGCAACAAAGTTGATCAACAAGAAATGTATCAAAGTTGATCATCTAAGAACTGCATCAAAGTTTAGACAAAATTGGAGAGTGTTCATAGGACAAGATAATCAAAGATATTTTTGCTATATTATGTCTATTATGTAATTGTGGACATAATAAAAATTAGAATTATTTTTGATTTTTTTAACGACTGACTTTAAAAGATTTTTCAGAAAACATTAGATTACAATATAAATTAACACTGATCTCGAAGTAACTCTTCAATCCTTGTAAATTAAAATACCTATGACATGTTTTCCATTGATGAATGCTTCAAAACCACACACAGCAGCTGTATCGTCTAGTGGGAAGACATATTTGGCTTCAATAGGAACATTGTTGTCATTCTTGTATTCTTGTAATATAACAACCTGTAAAAAATATCAAAACTTTTTATTACTATAATGTATTATTCTCATGGTGACAGGGGCCTTAAAAAATAAAAACAACACATTATAAATTTCATGCGTCTGAAGTGCTTTTCTAGATTTAACTTCATCAGGAACGCTCAAAGCCAAATATTTGAAAGCCAAGGATGTATAAGAAGCAAAACAATTGAAGATTTATATAACAAAAAGGACCTAAAAATATAGCCAAATCCATCTAAGGTCAACTTTGTCTGAGGGAGTTGAAACCTTAATGGTCAAGTGGTCTAAGTATTTCGTCTATTGTGATCACTAGCTTGTCAACACTGAAGGTGTGTCTTCAAAACCTTGGTTCAGCAAGATGCATTCTACTCTGTTCTTTAATTATCTAGAATTGCCATTTTCCTGCTGAAAGTTGTGGTTCTCTTTGTTATATGTTACGTATACTGGTTCTTGAAATCTTCATTTTAAACATGATACAAATGAAGACTGTTTTTGAACCACTAGATGATGTTTAATATGGTTAAACAGTATTGTGAGGTTGAACATACAATTTATAACCACAGAAACATGATGGTCTGCTTAATAAATTACAACTTATTGTCAATGAAAAAATTTTCTTCTTGGAATAGAATAGCAATTTCAACATTATTAAATTATTATAGTATAAAGAAATTTAATTTGAATACTGCAAATTCAAAAATTATGGCATTCATTTATTTTTGCCATTTTTGAGAAATGAACAAAAACGTGAGATTAATTATTGCAAATTTGGGAAAATCTGCATACCAATATATGTATTGAATTCAGAATGCGAGTTTTTGTAATTGCGACAGTGACACACAGTTGCATAAATGTCAATAAAAACTTTACAATAATATGTCAATTTACAGAACTTAGGATTCCAAATTGCTTGGAGTCCTGTAAAAGATTGCATTTAAATGATTTTAATCTCAATACAAAAGTAGTGCAGGTTTCAAGCTATCCCAACTTATCAGTAAAAAATGCCATTAAGGCTTGAATAGTGAAAAATGTTTTCCACATTAGAAACCAACTTATCAGACCTTCATAATCTTACCTTTGCTACTAAGTCCAAAAGATGAGCTCTAATATGAACAGATTTGAGTGGAACTGATTTTTTCCCTTTTCCAATCAACCCTGCAGTAACTTTGTTTAAAGGATCAGGTACATCCTTCACGTCTTTCAAATCTGAAAACAATATCATTTATACATATGTTAAGGATATTTTCCTTCCTGTTGTCTAATAAATTAACCTTTAAACATAAAAATGCTTTAGAGTGGAAGATGGTAAGATTTCAACTATTGTGAAAGTTCATACAATGAACAGTTTTTCCAATTGTATAGTAATGTTTTAGAACTGTCTTCAAAGATCAATTAGTGGACCTACTAAAAAATTTAATTTATTTAGAAAACATTTAAATAAATCACAATATTAAAGTTACTTCTCATATAAATACCAGACATTCATAAATGGGAATATCTTTGTACATTGTTTCCAATTTTCTGTTGGATTTGATGAGATTTCACAAATCCAAAAGGGTTTGAAAATAAAACATTTAATCAGTCAGACATATGTCTTGAAATTCCTTTGAATCTTATTTGTTTTTGTTAATAAAGGCAATCAAGCAAATCAAGGTATTGGGGATCAAGGTCAAGGAATAAGGTCACAACACATGAAAATGATAGCTCTGTATATTTGGTTTTGGTATGGGTTCTGTAAACTGCCAGTAGCTTGTACCTTGATATGGGTTCCATTTGGGATCAGTAAACATGTCTGCCGTAAAGATTTTTTTCTTAATTATATGATTATGCCTTGTCATTCTATCATGACAAATAAAATAAAGAGATGTCTTCTTTATGTGATTTTTTTAAAACCCTGTACAATCTATCAAAACCTACTTATTTCTTCAGAAATGTCCTGATCTGTGTTTTCTTCTGACCTCAAGGTCAATGTCATATCAGTTAATGGGGTCACAGTATCCTCAGGAAGACACAGTTGAACTAAATATTTCATTTTCTGTTGCCGTGGGTTATAGATAACATATTCATCATCCTGTAAGGAGAGTAGAAGGTTAATCTTAAGACGTATTTTCGTTGGAAAGATAACAATTACTCATTCTTTCAGTAAAGTTTAATGTTAAACTATAATTCTTTTGCTATGGGTGAGAGATAACAGATTCATCATCATGGAGGAAGTCAAGGTATATCAGTATATTAAACTGAACTTATAGTATATAATCATTAATCCATTTTTGATGTAAAAAAATAAGAGGGCACTTGCTGAAATATCTCGCCAGCTTTACTAATCATGATTTATTTTATTCTGAAAGTCTTTAAGATAGAATTAAATTACATGTATAGCATAAACTTAACATAATCCATGACTTAAATGAGGTCAAGGTCAGACGAATCCTGTCAGATGGACAAGTAAACCTTATAGTTATTCAATACACCAAATACAGTTGACCTACTGCTTATAGTATCCAAACAAACCAGAACTATCCAAATGTCCATTGAACCATGAAATTGTGATCAAGGTCAGATAAAAACTGCCTAACAGATATGTACATTTATCAATCATTATATACACCAAATATAGTTGACTCTTGCTTATCATATCAGAGAAACAGACCAAAACACCAAAACATTTACATTTACCAATGAACCTTGAAAATGAGGTCAAGGTCATGTATATGTACACATTTCAATAGTTCCATACACCAAATATGTGCGACCTTTAGCTTATTGTATCTTAAAATTAAAAAAAAAACCTGATCATGACCTAATCACGTAACTTTAACCTTGATCACTGATCCAAGAAAAGAAGTTAAGATCAGGTGAACCATGTCTGACAGACATGTAGACCTTGCAAAGATTCCATATATCAAATATTATTATCCTATTATTAAAGTGAGAAACACACATGACAAAAAAATTATACAGTTTTTTAAGCTGTCAATGAACCATAAAAATGAGCTCAAGTAAAATGGACATACATGTGTAACAAAAAGAAACTTTGTAACATAAGGCATCCATATATAAGGTATCAAGCTTCCAAGTCTTGTGCCTTCTAAAATATAAAGCTTTAAATAAATAGTTTACCCTGCTGTTGCCAACACCAGTTAGCATACTTATGTCTGACATTTTGTGACTTTCATCGCAGGTGGGACAAATTCTAATTAGATTTACACAGAAATTTAAATATTTCTTCAACACATACAGAATAAATTGCTTCACCGAGCCAGCTGGATACAACCGCAGAGGTCCAACCTTGAACAGATGGGGCAAAAATGGACACAATATTTGTGCGTGATACAGGTATGAATTTGGATTGAAATTAAATGTTTGACACATAATAGGTTTCTGACACAGAATAACTGTAGTCAAAGAACTTAGAATTGGTTACATGATTTGAATTTAATTTCTGAAATCTGTAATGAGAAAAAAAATTATTCCCCCCCCCCCCCCCCCAATTTCTTTTTTTACCCCCCCCCCCCTCAATTTTTCCACCTCCCCTGCCCTCCCCCTTTTTCCAAAAAAAAAATCTTTCCCTCAAGATATGGTCATTATCTCAATTCAAATTTCCAATGGAGTTTGCAACCATAATTACCCATTTAAATACATCATAAAAGTCTTAAAATAGAAAATGACATACATAATCATGTCTAAAAATAATATATCTTTAATTAGCATTTTTATTAGTAACTTCTAAAAATAAATTGACAGCTAATCACCTCATGACAACACAAAATGTCTTTATACATAATTTTAAAGCAGTGTAGGGGAGGTAATCCAAATTTAACATTGTACTTGTCCATTAACAAGGAAACCCTTGTTTTTGCCCCTAATTCCTAAACGGTTTGAGCCATTACCCCACAAAGCCAATCCTAACCATCCCTTTGTGGTATGGAAACTTGTGGTATAATTTCAGAGAGATCCATACAACGTTCCACAAGTTATTGTCTGGAAACTAGAAAAATGCTTATTTGGGCCCCTTTTTGGCCCCTATTTCCTAAACTGTTGGGACCATAACCCCCAAAATCAATCCCAACCTTCCCTTTGTGGTTATAAACCTTGTGTTTAAATTTCATAGATTTCTATTAACTTATACTAAAGTTATTGTCTGGAAACCAAATGTCTTTGGACGACACTGACGACGACGACGTGATACCAATATTCGACCGCAAAATTTTTTGCGGTCGTATAAAAATCCCAGTATTGCCCAGTATTACCCATTTTGGGGAGTATTGCCTGGCAGGGGAAAATGTGGTTTTTCCCACCCTGGTAACACTTTGCCAACCCTGCGACTCTTTTCACAAAAAATCTTACGATTAAAATTGATCGTAAGTTATACTGAAATGTGTATGACTTACGAGTATTTTTACTCTTAAGATTTTTTGTGAAAAGAGCCGCTGATTTTCATAAAGCATATACTCACAATAAAGTCTGTTGGTTCACTATCAGAAGAAGATTTGACACCATGTACACTATCATACCCAGATGGAGGCTCCATAAGAGAATTATCTATTCTTTTGCAGTCCTTGACTTTACCCAAGCTAACATCACAAAGTAACAACAACCTTGATCCATGTGTAGTACTGGGCCCTGAATACATCAATGATTTGCTGTAAGTAAAAAAAAGTGTCTTAAAATGACTGAAATATTGATCTCGATCTAAGAGGCTACTATTTTAACATTTAGTCTGACTACTATTGAGCCTTAGTGAACCAGAAACTTCTGAGAAGTCAACTCTAAAATTAACCAATCAAATTACTCTGTGCCATACCTCTAATTTTCAACTCAACAAGTCATATTTAGCAAAACTGTAGAAGTATCAATCATATGTTTAATGGGGCATGTGTATAAAATAATATACTGTTCTTGAAACCACATGTTTCAACCTACATTAGCCACTCTAAAGTACATGTGTAATACATAATACTCACGATAGAAGTATATACATTTTGTTAAAATGCCTTCCTTTGTTCATGTTATTATAAATTTCAACTACACTCCTCCTGGCATAATCCCCTACCAACCAAAATTCCTACCTAGCAGTATCAGAGAAGTATATACCACTCCCCAACAACCCATCATCAGTTCGTGTTATACCATGTTCATCTTCTACAAAGTTTGGCATCAGCAATCCTCTGCAAATGGTATAAAATGTATCATAATACTTATTAAAGAAAAGCACACACGTGAAATAATAATCTCCATTATACCTAAGAAGTAAATAAGGATATAATGTTTATGTAAGGGAAAGAAAGTTCAGTCTCTTCCTACAGAAAAATACAGTTGTAATTTAAATCGTCTTCTAATGTATACAAAGCGTATATACATTAAGTATGTCAGATATCCAGATATCAAGAGTTTTCTATAAACTATTATGTTTTTACAAATTTATTTGTAAAAGTGACAATATTTCAACTATTTGATGTAAAAAAGTTAATAAAGTACTCAGTCTGTTCTCGAAAACTGTAGGTCCTGACCACCAAAAATTAAGCAGGTCCGGAAAAACTTTGAGTAGTGGTGGTCATAATGTCCAACTTTAAAGTTTGGGGAGGTTTTATTCCTTTTTAGACCTTCTGGTATGAAGCATAGCTCTTGATCACAATACATTGTATTTATCAATACTTAGTATAGAGCTACTAGTATATATAATTGGCCTTATCTAATTTATAATTGATAGCAAAAATTTAACAGGACACAAATTTTCACCGGGACTACCAGCTTTTTAATTGTAGTGGTCCTAATAACCAACAGGCTAAAAAGGTTTTGAGAACTCTGAGTACTTTAGCAATTCACTGATATCATTTTTAGAGCATTCAATATAATCAAATGGAAAATCAGATTTAAATGACAGCTCCATGAATTTACTTCAAATGTTTATCATTCATTATTTGTTGATTTGATAAAAAAAATCTCAGACAAAAAGATGTTAAAAGCCTTAAAAAGGAAAAGCTGTGGTACACAATCTGTTGAAATCAACAGATCAACAAAAAACATGTTTACCTTGAAAGAATTCCAAGGAAGTTGTGGAACCCAGACGAATGCATGAGTAACTGTATATTGCCAACTTCTGATTGGAAACACAGATCCTCCAATGTCCTCTCTAACTTGTATACATTCAGGAGTTCTGCTCTGTAATATTATACATTAAATTATATACCAGTAGTTGTTATCTTATTACTTTTTATTTCTAAGCCAGCTTAGAGTGCGTTCCAGCTCCCTCCGCCAATAAAAATCTGGCAGCTATGAAATAGTCAATAGTGCTGAAGGGCCTTTAAACAAGACTATTAAATCAATCATAATTGAGAGAAGCAGTTTTAAGCCATTATTCCAAACTTTTATTCACATCAACTTAAAATGATTCTATCAAAATTAATTTGCAGTATGTTGAATAGAAAATACTAAATTTAGGAAAGTTTTTTCATTCTTTTTGTCATTCATTTTTTGTCATTGGGTTGCTGTCTCATTAACAATTATACCCTACAACTCCATTTATTTGTATTAAACATTTTAAAACCCTGAAAAAACATGTACAAGCCCAATTGATGACTTTTCCATAAAACACTCTTAACTTTTCATTTTATTGATAAATGCTTAAAATTTCAAAACATCAATTTCCTTTTTTTTAGCATTATTGTACTTTACACTTTCAAGGTTATGTATGCTGTTTTTTTTTAAATATCTTAACACTGCATTCCTTTGCTATTTGTTATCACTTTACCACAGAAAAATGGAATTATTAAATGCAATGAAATTTTGATTTTTTACTAGAATTCAGAATTTATCTCCAATAGTGACACGAGCATAGAAATTGAATACACCTTTAGGACCAGCCTCTACTAATGTTAGTTGGTATTAGGTTTTAAAAGGTATATCAGCACAATTATATTCATTAATCTACTATGCTGTAATTGATACAAGTAAAATATAAAGGATTTCCTTGACTTTTAATTTCTAATCTTTTATAAGCACATCTTACTTTTCTGAAGTTGATCTAACTAATTTCGTCACATGATCAAATTCATCAGTGGATGGATCAAGCTGTGTCACATGGCATTTCAAAGCTTTATATTTGGCAACAGTTGTAGCCTCATCAGACCAATCTGTGGCTTCTCCAACACTGATAATATCTCTAATAAGCTTAAAAAAAAAAGACCAATCAGTGGTTTTTCAAGAACATTGTTTCTAAAAAGCATAACAGGAAAGACTTCAACCAATTATTAGCTTCATATTCACTTTTTAGTTCTCTGATAAGCCGAGACATGAAAGTTGAAAACTTTTTAATTATGTACAACTGTAGCCTTATCAAAATTTCTAATGAGCCAAAAAAAAGACCAGACAGAACTTTCAGTTTATTTGTGATTTAAAACAGGAACCTGAGTTCTTTAACACAAAGTATCTCTGATTAAAATAACATAGAAACTTAAATATGTGCCATAAATGTTTGGAACACAGAATACATCTTTAAGATTTCTACTACAAATATTATAAAATCTGACATGTTAAAGATTTGCTGGGAGTATATGCCTACAAGCAATAAAAATTAAAAAATTAAAAACAAAATACCTGACAAAGGTCTTGTTTAGCTGATATATCTGATACACTGAATTTTTCCTTCCTGTCCAACCTGTTATGAGGTAGAGCTTTGTAAAACTCTTTCGTCAGTTTCGAACATTTCTCACTATCACCACTTCTTGTTTTATACAACTCCTTTAACTGATACAGCACTGCTTCTGCTTCCTCCACCTAAAATACAGTCACAGTGACCTTAATTAATGTCAGCAACAATATACAGAATGAACTCACTAATCAACATCCTATTTTGTAATTTAATAGCAGATACAACTACTGTGGATTCATTATTAATTGTGGAATATCAATTATCAAGGATTTCATGGGTGAAGGTGAACCAGGGCTTCCAAAACGGTCATATATTCCGGACTTGACCGAAACTTTCATAAAAAGACCGGCTGCTCTCAGCCTCAAACGGTCAAATAGAATTGGTGTGCCACATTTTGTTATTCAAGGCATTTTCATGAAACGGTCATTTCAATTTTTACCAACTATCGATCGATAAAAATGTCCGTTTGGGCATTTTAGTTTATAATTGTGGCAATCTATTTCACAAAGATATTTCGGTCATAATTGGGTTTAATAAAACAGAAGCAGCATATTTCAGATACTTTGAAGTGTCTCAGTTAGTCTAATCCTCTGGGTACATAAATGTACGGCTTGGTCTTTAGCTTGTGTACATCAATAAAAAGTAGAAAAAACACGTTTTCTTTTATTTAAATAACAACAAGCTGTCAAACAATTATCCCTTCAATAAGTTATATTGAAGCCATAAATCATTCACTGATTACAGGTTTGTTACCTTTGATGAGGTGTCCTTAGCTTGTCTTTATCAATAGAATTAATGATGCATAACAATGTACATAAAGGTAATCAGGTAAACGAGGTCAAACATGTAAGCGTGTATGGAACAACATCCTATTTAATTACGCTTTATAGATATTATTTTAAATGAGCATTCAGTTTAAAAAAGTATCCTGATATTTAAAAGTTATTCTTCAAATAAGGATAATTGTAAATGAATAAGTATGATATATATTATTTTATTTAACACTGTACATCGTGTTAAATACTGGGGTACTCTCAAGGGGAAAATTTACTAAAATATATAGGAAAAACTGTACCAAGCTGAGTTGTCCAATAAATAAGGGGGCGTTCTCTATTCTTGTTTTCATATTAAAAACTGTTTTTATAATTAAAATCATAAAGAATAATATCCAATCATGACAATCTCCGACTGTTATAAAGACTTTGTCTCAAATTGAACTTTACAAATCTGCCATCATGGGCAAACGTAAACGTGACGATTCCGATCAAAATTCGAAATCTGCTAGAAGCTTTATTCATAAATGGTTACAACTGTTTTTATGGTTAAGATTTGACAGTATGCTAAATGCCATGTTTTGTGACATTTGTCAAAAACATAAACTTAAAAATAACTTTGTAAAGCCTGGTTCGACAAATTTTCGAAAGTCAGCCGTTGTAGAGCATGCTTATAGCAATGACCACATTCAAGCTCTTAAATTAGAGACAGCTTCCAAAAGTAATCCAATTGTATCAGTATTTGAGAAAGTTCATGAAAAGACTGACAACGGCGCAATGTGCACCTTGTTCCGTAATGCTTACTTTATTGCTAAAGACAACTTACCAATGGACAAATTTCAGTCAATAAATGATTTAACTAAGTTAAATGGTGCCGTGATCACTTCTAAATTATATCAAGAGAACAATGTTGCCTCCTCCGAATTTATTCAGACAATTTCCGATGTTATAGAGAAAGAGGTGATGTCCGACGTAAAGTTAAGTCCCGCCGTGGGAATTATGATCGACGAGTCAACTGATCTGGCTACGCAAAAACATTTAATTTTGTACTTATCATTGTACAAAGAAAAATGTTATCGCTGTTCAGTAGATTTTACACGGTTTAAAACAATATCCTTCATTGGACCTCCTCAATGTTATCTATAAATACCGCATCAGTTGTAAAAGTCACGTGGTCAGGTAATCAATACACAAAAAGAAAAGTATCACGTGTATTGATGATCAAGTTGTACTGCAATTAAAGCCAACATCAACAGTTTCAAATAAGATGGCCTTAATTTACAAAGTGTTAAGTACTCACAGAGAGAAGATAGATTATATAAACAGAAAAAAAACATGAGAACAGTCAGGTACTGAAGCTGATTGATGCAATGATGGTTACTGTATTACAATACACAGAAAAATGACACAATACCGAGGATAATATTTTATTTATTTTTAGAATGAAGAAAACAAAACAGTTATAAATAAATTTATTGCATATAACACTACTAATTATTTAGACACATATATCAATTTATGCATCCTCTCAGTTACATTTAAGTATCCAGCTGATCATTGACCGTCAAAAATATTTCTTTGAAAAATGTCCGGCTGTCGTCAGGAAATTTTGGAAGCCCTGAGGTGAACCACAAATTTAAATGTTTAACAAAGTAAAAAAAATTCACATTCAACCTTTGACAAAACCAGAAAATCAAATATCCAAGAACATGTAAGTTTTCCTCAATCAGGGAAAATTGGTACCCCTGCAAATAAATGAATCCACAGTACATTGATTGTATGTTATAATCATGTGTCTTTGCGGTAGATGGAAGACCACCACATACATTTGTTTTTCATTTTAACAGATACATTACAGTAGTAATTAAATAGTTTTCAGTCTCTTTTAATATTTTACAGTCACCAAGTAGCTAATGGCTCCATTACAAAGTCAAACTCCTGATATACTTACAAATCCTTGACTAATGAATGAAGCTTTGAAATACATCATTTATTTCCTACTCCCGAATTAAAATAGTTTTATCAAGGGGAAGACAAAACCGGTTTAAAAATTGACAAATCCCCATTTATTCTATTCAATATAGAAAACAGATGTCTAGCTTGATTTACATAGCCTGTAAAATTAATATGACAAGTTTTATAATTTGAGATTCTAATTCAAGGTTAAGACAAGTATACCTTAGATAGCTTAGTTAGCTGGGGAGGGGAAGATAACTCTTTCTCTGCATTTTTTAGTGCATCAGACCAGATCAGTTCTACCAGCTGTCCAACAGGTTCAGATAACTCTATTGATGTGTTACATAGTTCTGACAATATCTGAAAAGATAAAAACTACAGATAAAATATGGAAATTTCTTTAACAATCCTTTATAAAAATGACTATCAGAGTTATTTCCCCTAATATGGCTAAGTTGGAAAAATTAATTAAACATAAAGAAATATTTGTTATTTGTAAAAACTGTCTATAAAATACAATAAATCACTTGTTTTTTCTCTATATTTTCAAGAAGTCTAATGCATGAGCTGCCATCCAGTATCAAATTGCCATTTTACAATGCAAGATGGATAAGACACAGGATCTTCATTAAGATAATGTTGATTTGCAGTTTCTGTTTGTGGATCATAAAATTTTATTGTAATAGTATGTAACCTGACCATGGCCATCTTTTACTATGTGTATAAGTTCCTTTGGTCGCTAGTATCCAGTGAATAATTTAGGATCCCAAAACGTAGTTGCACAATATTGCACATAAAGTTTTTGTGACACTTATATCAAAAAATAATCTAAAAATTTTATAAATGAAATTTTATTTGAGATTCCTAATAATTAAATGTTATTGGTTATGCTTTCCAGTAAACAGGTTACAAATAATTTCTGAATGTACAGTAATTGGATTTACATGTATTAAACGTGAAATCTGGGTTTGCTACTTCAAATATTAAAAAAAGAAGTTTATTTCAATAGTAAACAAATTACCATTCTGGCTCTTGGTGACCCTAGTTTATTACTGGAGAAAGCAGGCTGTATCCATGGTAACATGCTGTATGGTGCTGTAGTGTACCTGTGATATAGCTGTTCGTACCCACTCAATCCTTCAGCTGCTGTGTCTAAATACCAAACGGTAGGATCTGATGTACTTACTATATTCTATAAAGAGATATAATTAAAATCAAAGAGTGTTCATGCTAATGCTTCTTGTTAAGCTGAAACCTAAAAATTAGGTTTCAATGTAGAAAAATATAAAATATTAATTTTGACCTGAAATGTAGTTTTTCAACAATGGATTAATGTTAATCAAAACAATCTATTTTTAAATTTCATTTAATTTATAATAGCTGTAATATAAAAGTTTCATTTTGTCAACTGATAATAAACTTGGAGAAAATGTAAAAGATCTTATTTGGTTGGGTTTAGTTTTGGTGTGGGTGATGTTTTCTTCTTCATTATTATTGCGAACCAAATGAAAGTCTTCCACAGAGTCGTCTGCTCTTGACCAGGGTATTTAAACTTTTGTCTATTCTCTTGTCCTATTGAATAAATACAATAGCTATTGTTCTCTGTGTAGTTTTTTCACTGGGACCTTTAGGTTACAAGGAAGTAATTATTTACATAGGCGACAATGGTAGCCTTTTTTGGTCCTGCGTTTTCACTATCAAAGATCCATAGAAAAAAATGTCGAATTCTGAATTATCAACACCTTTGGGTGTAATTGAAACTGCAAAACACATATGGTGCCGCAGCTTTTTTGATAGAAAAATTGCATTTTTTAAGGGTACTCAACGGTTCCGGAATTTTCGAAATAGTATAAACGAAGAACACCCCTTGCTAAATTTGGCACAGAAAATGTTGCTCGTCACAGAGAGTTTTCTCTAAATTTCTCGCTATTTCTACACCAATGGCCAACACTCATTTCTCACTATTTCAATTTTGATTTCTAATTACAAGGGCAGCAGAAAATAAATTTACTTCTACCTATTATCTTGGATGTAAAATCTAGGTGGCGCCAGTCATCTTTATTTACTTCCTTTTAACCTTTAAATTTCTTCTAGGAGAAATCTATCACTCATTGATTAATTTACCTGACCAAAAAATTATCTTCTTTTTTGGGGGAAATAGTTGTATAAACTCACATAAACTGCATGCAATATTGTATGTAATCAATATCAATAATATATTTCCAATCTGTTCAATATAAACACTGATTTGATTATAAAAAGTTTATTTCTGACAAAAGTTTTAGTATTGTTCTAATGAATTTGAATGTTTTTGTTGTTGTTCTGTTATAGAATACATTTATCAAGACCTTAATTTAAACACATCTGTTTACATAATAATTTTCAAGTTATTATTTGTCAAACACACAAAAAAAAAGCAAATTTTGATAGGGAAAATATAAAAAATTTGTTCAGAAATCAACTTTTAATTTTTGAATCAGTGTTTATATTGAAACTATTAAAAATGAATTATTGATATTGAATAAATACAGCACCACATGCAGTTTTTTTGAGTCCTTATTTAGTATTTGTACATGTATTTTCATTTTTGACAGTTCAATTTTTTGTTCAGGTAAATTAATCAGTGAGTGATAGATTTCTCTTGGAAGAAATTTAAAGGTCCAATCAAATAAACTACACAGAGAACAAAAGCTATTGTATTTATTAGATGGCCAAAAGAACTTACAAAAGTTTAAATCGACAGGTAACTTGCAGGTGAATCTGTGGAAAAGTATCATTTGGTTCGCAATAAGTGATAGTCCTGTTTTGCACTCAAAGAACACAATTTCTGCTCTCTTGTACCTGGCTGTGACCAGAAGTGTAAAGGTGGAAATTGGTAAATTAATAACAGGATTTGAGTTGTACATCACTAAACACAAAATATTAAGAGATACAATCCGTTCTATATACTTACTTTTAATGTTTGCTATTGAAATGATACATCAGTATCTGACATGGTTAGAATGATTACCTTTATTTAATTACTTAGAAAACAGTCAACTATCAAAACAAAAATTTGACCTCTCACCTTCTGTTCATCAAAAGACCCTGCCTGGCTGTGAAGTCTAAACACATCTTCATCAGTTAATACATGGATCTCCAATATCTGTACTTTATTTTTGTTCTGAAAAATCAATGCATTAATTATAATGGCCTTCATTTATATAACCCTATCCTTCTACTTTTTTTTTAAAATAGATTTTTTTTGTAAAAGTCAATTTGCATCATGGAAATTTAATTTTACTTTTTCCTCGACTTTTAAATTGATGTATTGGTTGTACATTCATACAGGATAATATCATTTAATATTGTCATTTGCTTTAAGTAATTTCAAAATCACTGTGATTTATAATAAAATTAAACTTAATGTAAAATCCTCAATATTTTTCTACTTTGAATATGCTATTCTAACTTAACAAAACTCTTAACCACTCTAGGCTTACTGTAAGTTAGATAATAGCAATAAAAACTTGATTTAATAATGCAAGTATTGCACTTATTTTTTTACTAAATATTTGTCATTTTTTTGGACACATAAAGTATGCAATTTATACTGGTACAAACCTTGAGTAAAGTCCATTTAGCAAGGACATAAGGAATATCTGGATCATAAGGGGTCCCTGGATCTGTATATGTCCAACCTTTCATGTTATTCAGGTTAACTTGTACCTTTTTCTTTTTTCTTTTGATCAAACCTTGTGGATTTTTACCTGAAATAATATAATATGAGGCAGGTGTTACCTGTAAGAAAGGACAAAGTCTGTATTACAAATTTTATTTTCATTGTATTATTGTCATTTTTCTTTTTGGTACTTAGATATAAAAATTTGCGAGAAAAAGGGTTGAAAAAAAATATTCCCTTGAATTTGACAGTTGTAGGAAATTAATCCTACATTTCATTGCAGTAAAAAATTTCTGAGTCATAAACATATATCTTGGGTGTTTCAAATTAAATTCCACTCAGTTAGGAAAGACCTTATTGTTTTTCCACTCCGTTAGGAAAGACCTTATTGTTTTTCTAATATTTTTTTTTCTTTTCTTCCAGCATTTTTTTTTACATGCCCTCCCCCATTTCTATTGGAGTTATCAAGACCAAATATGGACCATCAATAGACCTCATCATGAAGTATTACCAGATGAGGCTGTGTAGGATTTCATCATCCCCTTTAGAAGTTATCTCCCTTTTATTGTTTTTTTTTGACATGGACCCCCCCTTGTTGTTTTTTAAGATATCATGACTTTATATGGACAATAGGTAGATCTCATCATGATGTTTTATCATATGAGGGCACGTAGGATTTCATCATCCCCTTTGAGAGTTATATCCCCTTGAAACAATTTCTTTTATTTGCATTTATCTTAAAAAGTGTTAGAGATAGAATCGATTTGAAAATGGCAGCATGTACAAGAACAGATGGCAATGTTAATAAACATAAACAATTATTTTGTTATCAACCCTTATAAGGAGTTATTTCCCTTGAAAAATTATACACAACTTTCGAAAAATTCTATTTCGAGAACCGAAAGTTGTAGAGACTTAGGACCTTCACCAATAATCTTTAATTCATGTGACTCTCAATTTGCACCCAAGGTCAAAGGTCACTGAGTGCAAAAAAAATTTAAGCTGCAATTTCAAGCTGACATATTAAGAAAACGATAAGAGTTTGCTGCATATGTACTGTGTATAAAATGTTCCTCTTGACGAGCTCTACATTTTATACATTAAGCTCAAAAATCTCCAACCATCTGTTCAAAAGTTACAACGAGATAATTCTTAAAAGTATAGTATTGTGTGTATATCTTTGTAAGAAAACAGATATCAACCAACTATAAACTGCAAACATGATCAGTATTTTAAGACCTTCAATTTGAGGTCAATGTCAGGTCATGATAAAATTTTACCTTGACCTTCAAAGCGTACTATGACCTTGACCTTGTGACATTTGAAAGGTCAAGTGGTCCTGAGTTGAATGGTGGTAGTCCCATGTCTCTGCGACTTATGTATGGACACAACATTCAAGCTTGATACAGCACTGAATTTGGATTGTGATTAAATATTTGACACAGCATAGGTTTCTGACACAGAATGAATGTGGTCTAAGAACTTAAAAAATTTTAATTTACCTATTCAAACCATATCATTGTTATTTGCTTTTATAAATACATCAGAAATAACCAATTTAAAATGGAAAATTTTAAAGAAAATAAAAGGAAAAAAAGGAAAAAAAAATCCCCCCCAAATTTTTTGAACCCCCTTCTGATTCATCACCCCCAATCTCAATCCCAGCCTTCCCTTTGTGGTATGGTACCTTGCAGTACAATTTCAGAGAGATCCATACACTTGAACACAAGTTATTGTGGAAACTAGAAAAATGCTTGTTTTTTGGCCCCTTTTTGGCCCCCAATTCCTAAATGTTTAGAGCAATTACCCCCAAACTCAAACCCAGCTTTCCCTTTGTGATATGGAACCTTGTAGTACAATTTCATAAAGATCCATACAGTTACACACAAGTTATTGTCCTGAAACTAGAAAAATGCTTGTTTTTTGCCCCTTTTTTGCCCCTAATTCCTCAAATTTTGAGGCAATTACCCCCAAAATCAATCCCAGCCTTCCCTTTGTGGTATGGTACCTTGCAGTACAATTTCAGAGAGATCCATACACTTGAACACAAGTTATTGTCTGGATACTAGAAAAATGCTTATTTTTGGCCCCTTTTTTGGCCCCTTATTCCTAAACATTTTAGGCAATTACCCCCAAACTCAATTCCAGCTTTCCCTTTGTGATATGGAACCTTGTAGTACAATTTGAGAAATATCCATACACTTACACACAAGTTATTGTCATGAAACTAGAAAAATGCTTGTTTTTTGCCCCCTAATTCCTAAAATTTTGAGGCTATTACCCCCAAAATCAATCCCAGCATTCCCTTTGTGATATGGAAGCTTGTGGTACAATGTCAGAGAGATCCATACACTAACACACAAGTTATGTCTGGAAGTTACAAAAATATTTATTTTTGGCCTCTTTTTGGCCCCTAATTCCTTAACTGTTGGTACCATAACCCCCAAAATCAATCCCAACCTTCCTTTTGTGGTATTGAACCTTATGGTTAATTTTCATAGAGATCCATTCACTTAAACTAAAGTTAGAGTGCGAAAAATGTGTCTTCGGATGACGACGACGCCAACGTCATACCAATAAACGACCGCAAAATTTTGCGGTCGTATAAAAATCAATTTGAAATTTTCATGTTTTACATTGACTTTTCATAAGTTCTATTTATACAATTGATATTGCATCATTTTTGGCACTTTGCCAAATGGGGTCATTTAGTATGTGAATGTCTAAATGAGCTCTCCTCAAAAATGAAAATTTTAAACCCCCTTTTCATCCCAGTGCGAAGGGTGGGGTCATTTAGTGCAAAAAATTAAAATTTCTCAGATGGTTAGGTTGTTGCATATCAAATGGAAGTCCATAAAGCGTACATTTCAAATATCAAATTGTCGTCCCCGAAAATGCGTTGGGTGGGGTCATTGAGTGCAAAAAATACAATGTCTCATAAGGTAAGGTTGTCATATATCAAATGAAAGGTCATAACGTGTACATTTCAAATATCAAATTCCTGTCCTCCAAAAATGAGTAAGATGGGATTATTAAGTGCAAAAATCAAACTTTCTAGAAAATGGTGTTGTGGCATAGCAAATGAAAGGTCATTTGGTCTTCATTACAAATATCATACTACCGATCTTGAAAATTTTGGTGGAATGGGTCATTAAGTGTAAAAAGTGAAAAGGTTCAAAAGGTATGCTTGTCGTATATCAAATGAAAGGTCGTGAAGAGTACATTACAAATAAAATGCTTTGCTGGATAGATCAAGTTTGAATTTTTGTGGCGTCACTTTAAACGTTTTAGAGTTATGCCCCTTTACAAATGGAATAAAATGCTCCGCTGGGCGCAGCTTGATACGACCGCAGAGGTCGAACCCTGAACAGTTGGGGCAAGTAAGGACACAACATTCAAGCTTGATACAGCTCTGAATTTGGATTGTGATTAAATATTTGACACAGCATAGGTTTCTGACACAGAAAGAATGTGGTCTAAGAACTTGATTTTTTTTAATTTACCTATTATGGTCCAATGTCCAAAATCAAAATACATGGTTAGATTCAGCATATCAAAGAACCCCATACATTCAATTTTTGTTGAAATCAAACAAAGTTTAATTTTGGACCCCAACTAGGACAAACTTGAAAACTGGGCCCATAATCAAAAATCTAAACACATGTTTAGATTCAGCATATCAAAGAACCCCAAAGATTTCAATTTTTGTTAAAATCAAACTAAGTTTAATTTTGGACCCTTTTGGACCTTAATGTAGACCAATTTAAAAAACAGGACCCAAAATTAAAAATCTAAAAACACTGTTAGATTTGGCAAATCAAAGAACCCCAATAATTCAATTTTTGATGAAATCAAACAAAGTTTAATTTTGGACCCTTTTGACCTCAATATGAACCAATTTGATAGCGGGGTCCACAAATAAAAAATCTAAATACATGGTTAGATTCAGCATATCAAAGAACCCCATATATTCAATTTTAGTTGAAATCAAACAAAGTTTAATTTTGGACCCAAATTTGGACCAACTTGAAAACTGGGCCAAAAATCAAAAATCTAAATACATGTTTAGATTCAGCATATCAAAGAACCCCATATATTCAATTTTTGTTAAAATTAAACAAAGTTTAATTTTGGACCCTTTGGACCTTAATGTAGACCAATTTGAAAACTGGACCCAAAATTAAAAATCTAAATACACGGTTAGATTCAGCATAACAAATAAATAAATGTGGTCAAAGATTTTACAAATCTAATGCGCCATACTGTGCAATTAAAGATTACTTCTTGAAATTTGAAAAAAAATAATATTTGAAGAATAATTCTTTTTAATTTCTGAAATCTGAAATGAGGAAAAATTGACCCCCCACAATTTCTTTTTACCCCCCACCCCCCCCCCTTTTTCCCCCAAAAAATTCTTTCCCTCAAGATATGGTCATAATCTCAATTCAAATTTCCAATGGAGTTGGCAACCATAATTACCCATTTAAATTTACCATAGTGCTAACTTAATCTATTTTATAATAGAATTTAAAATATAGTGTCAAATCTTTCATATGGATTTTTTTGTAAAAAAAAAAGATGCAACATTTGCAGATATTTTTACTGGTCTTTCTTTATAAATATGCATTTCTTTAAACATAATTTAAAAGCAGTGTAAGGGAAGTAACCAATACGTTGTATTTGGATTACCTCCCTTACACTGTTTTAAATTATCTTAATTGTTCATTAACCATTACTTTATACATAATTTAAAAGCAGTGTAAGGGAGATAATTTCAATGATGTATTTGATTTATCTCCCTTACACTGCTTTAAATTATGTTTTGTACTAAAGTATTTGTCCATTAACCAGGACAACCTTGTTTTTCCCCCTTTTTTGCCCCTAATTCCTAAACAGTTTGAGCCATAACCCCCAAAGCAAATCCTAACCATCCCTTTGTGGTATGGAAACTAGTAGTATAATTTCAGAGAGATCCATACACCTTTCCACAGTTATTGTCTGGAAACTAGAAAATGCTTATTTTTGGCCCCTTTTTGGCCCTTAATTCCTTAACTGTTGGTACCATAACCCCCAAAATTAATCCCCACC